AGTTTCCTTACTATTTTAAACCATTTTCATGTATGACTGTTGATGGCCATGCTTGTTAAATACCTCTGTCCCAGTAACACATTCCAACTATAATGCTTGCAATGACCATGCATAAACCTTTACATGATCATTTGACTCTTGCATTGTGTTACTCACGAACGTCACTTTGAGTTCTCATCTACATCCTCATGTTTTTGTACATTTATATCTTTTAAGCTCACACATGTGCAAATACTCCAGGCTGACATGCTGCTTCTCTCTTTCTGTATGGCTCCTCGTGTGCGTGAATGTGTTATCATCTGCTCGTGTCTGCGTGCACACATGTGCTTTTAGATGACCTTTGGGGATGCCATGAGGAACAAAGCGAGACTTTCCGTCACTGGGAGTACCGGGGAGAATGGTCGGGTGATGACTCCAGAGTTTCCAAAAGCTGTCCACGCTGTCCCGTACCCGAGACCTGACATGGGACTGAACGTCAGCCTGACAGATCTGTCCTGATCGATGAGAAACTTCTGAGTGCCTTACAATGGTTTCAATAGAGCGAGTTTTTTTTCCTCGTGCCCTTCCCTCCCTCCTTCTGTTCTGGCGCTTCGTTTTCTGTCTCTGTTGAAAAGGGAAAGGTAGGAGCTGGAGGCTTCATTTTGTCTCACACAAAGACTCATACTGTTGCTTTCTGTCTCTATTTCTCACCGTATTAAACGCCTCCCTCTCTGGGTGGAATTACATCTCTGAATGAAAAGGGAGGCTCTTTTTTCTATACCGATGACACCATGCTTTTCCTATCTATCTGTCTGGACTGGACTGAGACGGAAACGAGGGCTTGATTGACGGCAACGGCTGCTTCTGGGAGTTTCTGTCATCTTTAAAGCGTGTGTGTGCGCGCGAGTGTGACTAGATTGTGTGAGTGTGTGCGCGAGCGTGTGTGTGTGTGTGTGAGTAATAGAAGATGTCGTCAAAAACACACTGTTTCTGTAGCCACCACCGCCAAACAGATTCTCAAGCACACTTGATATCATCTGCATTAAGATGTGAAATCGTCTTTTTTTTTTCTAAGAAAACTGAAGAAAAAAAAGTTTAATGAAAAAATATTTTTATGTATTTTCACAAAATAGCTTTTAAATAAACTTGCTTACATACTGGTTGAATAAAAACATCTTAATGTGTGATAAAGAAAGAAAAAATACTAAACAGCTTCTAGTTCCATATTTTTAAAGCCAAATACATCGCATATGGGGGTGAGATGTTGAAATCATGTAATTAATTCCTATCTAAGCTTTCCTGTATATTTTATTCTTTAACATTTGGTGTTGATATGAAATATATGTCAATGCTTGACATTTGGACTCAATCCTTCTCTGTTTTTCTTGTTAGCGTTAGTGCAACGACTTCTTTGCTTTATTCTTCCGTCTCTTTGTTTGCTTTCGGTGCTTTTGTTGTTTGTATTTTTTCCTGAAAAAGGACCAGGGTTTGTTCTACTTTCAAGACGAAAACAAATCTGTTTACATACCATGAATGCAAAACAGAAAACAAGAAACAGTAGGGTACAATGTCACGGCATCACATTTTTGGGGTGATTTGAAAAGAGGCATCCACATCCACATGGTTCATGTGGAGGTTCGAAATGCCAAATAAGTAAGAGTGCCAAATCCTAGTGCCAGTAGATATGAATATAGTCTTAATATAATCAATCACTGTCATCTCAGTGAATGTAAATGATACATTCTGTAACTTTTGTAACTAGATGTACAGTTGGTGGCAATGACAGTGCAAATACAATAGCCTTTTTTTTCGCTTTGTTTTCCAGTCTCCATGTATTTTGCATCGATCTGACAATGAAGTAGCACCAGTTGCATGTTGTTGCCGCAAGTTCAACATTTGTTTATTCCATTACTGCCAAACATGCGTTTTCATTTCAATGTTCAAGTTGTGAGGTTAACTGTTTGAAATTGGAAATACAATGTTAAACATATATATATATATATACACACAATATATACATATATACATATATTTTATATAAAAGGTAAAAATCTGAAAAATTATAGCCCCTTTCTCTTTCTCAAATCAGAGTAACTTTTCTTCTGGATCGAGATTCTTCTTTGGAAATACGGTATTTCTTTCAGTTCTGCAGTCCTACCATAAGTTACAAACTTATGCAGACAAGCACTTCTAATTTCACACTCATTTTAACTTTCTTCACTAAATTGACCAATGAGGACTCTTCTACTTTTCTTATCACTGTTGTTTTTTGTAATCAGAAATAGAAACATATACCGTAGTTGCTTCTCGGTTTCATTGCATATTCAGGCTATTCTCACTGACATTTTGTATATGGAATGTGTGCTAACTTGTTTATTTTTTGGGACTCTTTATAAATAAAAGTGGCTGATCTCTTGCTGCCTCTCAGTGTGTGATATTTACCTGAGAAGAAATAACCAGCTGTGTGAAGACTAAACTCAAAGAAGAAAAGGCCCCATGAAGTTTTGAAGGATTAGTGTGCGTTTATTTTCTCATGGGAAGTAGTGTTGTGACCTTCTCAGGTCCTGAGGCGAAGAGTAGCTGGCTGAATACCATGACGACCACACATCCATGCTACACGGCATGTGCATACAGTACTTGATCGACATCCTCAGGCTCTCCTGTTAAGTGCTTTGCACACCCACGAGTGTTTTCAATTTATCCACCTGATTAGACCTCTATTCAGATTGAAAACAGGTGAGACTGTGCTGAGAGCGACTTCAGCCCTGTTAAAGGCATTCTGATTAGAGACTCTAACTTCAGCGTTTTCATGGGCGCTGAATAAAGTGAATCAAATCAAACGTGTGTGCACCTACATCACTCACTGAAATTGGATAGAACCACTTTGACATGTGCAGGGTTGTCCTGTTTATCTATTATCAAAGTTGACTGATACTGGTTTTTCAGGGCTATACTGATACCAGACCAATAATATGTGGAACTGATCTGCATTTACAGCAAAAATTAAAAATTCTTTATTGTCCATGTGTAGAATAAAAGGCCAACACAGATAATCGGCTAAATGCCAAATATCAGCTGATTCACAGCTCCTTTCTGCAACTCTGCTATTTTTTTCTTATCTTGTGACAGTAATCATCAAAAATTTAATATCAAACATCAAATATTTGCACCCCTAAATTGCTCCTAAATACTTCATAGATTACCAAAATGGACCCAATTTCGAGCCCTAAAAAGATGACATTCTCTCTGAATTGGACCTTGAGTCCACGCTGATAGCAGGAATAAATGCAACTCATGATGCTATGAGTGACCTCAATCATGGAGTCGCCGTTTAACGGATTGGGGTGACACTGACACCACAAAGTGACAATTACTTGTGCCATTGACTGCTAATAATAGCTTGCTGGTCTAAGTCATGCTTGCTGTAGCCACAGTGAGCTCTTTTCTACCTTTTCTCTGACTGTTCGGTCCACTCTCTCGTAGTACTTTACCCATCGTTTCACACTATTTCACTCAATAGGGAGTTCATTGAAGAGGGAAATTGAACCCCCCACGCTCACCATCCTGCTAACGATTTTTCTTCTCTATTATGAATCTGTATTTTTGTAACACTGCAGCACTTTTGGTCACTCAGCTTAGCCAAGGAGCAGGGGGGAAAAAATCCAAGTTGTGAAAATGAAAAAGGAGAATGATGAGGTTCATATAGTTCCTCCTCCTTCTGCTGGTGCTGGTAATGAAGGTCACACATCTCCATAAAGATGGCTGACTTCCCCCTGCTTCATAAAGATAACCAATCCTCTACCAATTAGGCCATATGCTCCTCCTCAGTTATTTGAATTTATATTCTTCACACCATGAATTTCATTACATTAGTACTTTATCATTACAGTCATGTTTGGCTGCCCTGCTCCTTTCCCTCAGTGGACTCTTAATACTGGGACTGCAGGTCTCGAAAAGGATTAAATGTTTTAACGGATGTCAAGTTGACTACTTCTTCAGAACTGCTCGATAGAAGAGGTTGGAAAGTTCATTAATTAAGAGGAATTTTGAACAGCTCAAATAAGACAAAAAATCTAACTTTTGTTTTATCACCAGAGGGAAGAAAGTCCATTTGGGGGTTCTTGGAAATGAGTAATGAATAAAGAATCATTAAAGCTACAAAAACTCATATTAGAAGCCAAAAATCAACAGTCTTCTAAGCTGGATATCAATATGATCTTTTGTTGTGATAACTCATAGTGTCAATTATTTTCTGGTTTTATTACTCAGCTATCTTTAATACGTGTTTCTGATTGGTCAGATTAATTCACAACAGCAAAAAAGTGAGACCAGGAACAACCTCATCACCTACGCCATATTAACTCAAATCAACATTAAGATTCAACATATTTAACTTGACTTTGTACACACTGTGGCAAAACTGCTTACATCTAGAAACACTTCGTAATGAGTACAAGGTTTCAGACCCTCTTCACAAAAACCCAGTGTAAAGATTGGACAAGACTGAGCCCCAACTTGTGAGATAAGACCCCCTCCTATCCCATCTCCCAGCACAGGAGTATAGCACTAAGAAGAATTCATCAAGTTATCGTGTAAATAAAGAACTTCTTCAAACAGGCAGAAACCTTGAGCAGAACCAGACTCATGTTAGACAGACATCAATCGCAGCTGCATTGGGCTTAGAGAGGGGATTTCATATAGCGCTTTATCAGAGACCCTCAAAGCGCGTTACATTGGATACATCATTCCTTAGCTCACACGTTCACACTTTGTGGTGGTGAACTACCTGAGTAGTCACAGCTGCCCTGGGGCAGACTGACAGAAACGTCGCTGCCACTTTGCCCCTACGACCTCTCCGACCACTACCACACAACACTCATATTCATACACCAGTAGAGGACACACAATGGGAGCAAGGTGGGTTAAGTGTCTTGCCCAAGGACACAACAGACAGACTCAGAATAGGCGGGAATCAAACCGCCAACTATCTGGTTATCGAACGACCGCTCTCCCTCCTGAGCTACTGCCGCTCATGGATAGAGGGACATACAGAAAGGGGGAGATGGGTGGCCACTGGACGTCAAACTTTTTCTAGAGAAGCAGTCCCTTTGCATATTTAAAAGCAAAGAGGTGAAATGCTAAAGAAGAATTCTTTACATCTTATTCAGGTTTACTGGTTGATCCAGTGTCAACAACAAATATCACTTTTCAGATGACCCAAAAAGCACATTTAAGTGTGTCTTATTCAACAAATTCTACTGTGAATGTGTTAAAATATGTCTATTTAGTCAAACATGATGCTCATGATCCATATGACTCCAAATTGACTCCCTCTTGGGGAGATAAACAAGGGTTTAGCGTGATTGTTTGACATCATCCCGGATAGTCGAGCTTTGATATTCTTACTAACTTACACTTCACTGCAGGCTGTGCACATGTGAAGTGTTGACTCATGGGATAGGATACGATATCTAGTAGAGAAGAGAACACAAACACTTTGACTTTCTACAAAAGACACTCCTTGCTCCAGGCGAAAATCACACTCAGCTCCCCACACACTCCACCTCCCACTCCACTCACATATCCTGATCTAAACGAGACGAGCTGCCCACCATCTGGAGCTGAGTAAGATCAGATGGCATATGGCTGCTGGTTACATCTGGTCAGCCCAAATATACTGTACTGATTAGTCAGGGGTTTTGCCAGGTGGACAGCTTTTTGGATCAAGTTCAGCTCACATTTCCAAGCTGTTATGTTTGTGTTTGCATTTTTTTAACCTTAGGAAAAATCTGGTATCCTGCTTTCTGCACATAGGCTTTTACAGAGGTCTTTGTCATAATTGTAACCAAGAAACACAGAAAATGAAAGAAATTCAGGAAATATAGGTTACTTTGAAGTAATCACATTTAAGCCATTGTGAGGAGTTTTAAAGGGTAATTAAACAGACCGACATTAAAACTGATGCCTCTTAATGATGCAGAAAAATTTTACCAGGCCGTCAGCATCACGGCTGAGTGTTTCTTTGATAAAATATATACTGCTGAGAAGTTAAACAAGACAATTCACAACATGCTGTCATCTTTCTTTTTAACACTGCTAATTTTCCAGAAATTAATAACATGAAGGCTAAAAGACATGGGGGTTATATTTCATATCAAAAAACACATGTTTAAGACATTATCAAAGAAGAATTGTCAATTTTAACTAAAAGTTCCTCACAGGAGATTTAAAAGTTATAGGAGCATTTGGCAAGTAGCAGTAAGATAAGGCCGCAACTGTTTTGATAGTCAACTACACAATCACAGTGTTGTTAAGGAGTCGACTGTATTATCCAGCTGAAACTGGACTTTGAAAAGACATTAGTCTGACTGAAATCAAACTTCGCATTGTCGGACAGACATAACGAGAGGATGCAGTTTGGTATCGATTTTCTCTTCTGTTTTCACGGCTCAACCCGACCGAAACTGGTCGTGGCGTTTGCACCCCAGGCTTTAGACTTAAAGTTGAATGTTATGAAGGCATTGCTAGTAAAATATAACCTTACTATCAAAAAAATGTTATGTCCTTGCAAAGCATGAAAACACATTGCCACAATGTCGTTTGGTATGATTACATTTGTCAGAAACTACTTAAGTCATAAATATTTTTGAAGCCCACACATATGAAGAGTTGCAACCTGATAGCAAAACGCTGTTTGGTCAAATCTAATGCAACTATTCATCACAAATATGCCATGGTTAGGATAAGTCGAGATATTGACACATCTTATGAGACTGTTGGGGGTTATTTCAGTGTGATGAAAAGGCCAAAGGCTGATTAGCTCGGATATTAGACCATCTTACATGATTAAAATTAAATATGATAGGCAGGTAAAATTGAGGCTTTTGGAAGGTATAAATGTGTGAGCGTTACTGTCCCTCTGAAGCTTAATGTCATTCAGGAGTTAAGCCCTTTTTTGTATGTCTTCCTGATCCTCATCCTTTAACGATGGAGGGATTTAGCACAGAAGTTGGATAGTTGGATTTGAGAGAAAGACATGCGCTTGCAAAAAAAAAAGTATCTTGTGTATAAAACACAGTCATGTAGACACTTTAAACACCAACTAGCTGAAACATGTGTAAACAACTCTTATTATTTCAGATTTATACCTCCTCTAGCAGATGCGCTGAATAATTTAAAAGCTCCTCTCCTATTTAGACACTATACTGTATTACTGCTTGACTTCCTGCTTAAATAAGAGACTTATATAACCTTAATCTGTTTTCCTAAGAGTCCACCTATTTGTAGTTTTAGCCTTTAAATTAAGACCAATGTATTCTTAAAGGTTAGATCAGTCCCATGGCTACACTGTTAACACTAGGCTTCTCTAAAAGAGTAGATGCAGCCTGAAGGGTTTGCCATTTATAGATCCTACAGGAGGAAATACA